TCACTAAATATGAATTTTTTGGTAGTGGTAGTACTCTACGAGAAAGAGAGATTTTTATTGAATGAATGTTGTCTTGGCCGTTGTCCTTTTATATATATATATAGACTTTTTAAACTTGGTGACCACGCATAAGACTTGGTTACCAAGAGACAATCTCCAGGTTTGCAAAAAAACATGGTGACCACGTTGACGAAGAGAAGAATAAAATTTAAAGAATGCAAAGGATAAAGTTTGAAAATTTAAAAAGGGAATTTGAATGGTGACCAAGTTAGTAAGAGTTATTGTCTCTTTGGACTAAATAAGTTTGAGCAATTGTATCTACATCAATTTTAAAACAGTTTTTCCCTTTTTTTTATATATAAGTCAAAAAAAGGCCGCCAAGGTATGCAAGTATTTTTATTTTTAGAAAAATAACAAGCATTTCCGTTAGCATCAAAAACCAATCCAGTACATCCTAACCCAGCCATCCCCAGGCGTACATAATCAGTAATAATTAATTAATTCATTCTGAAATTCACTATTTGTTTGATCCAATACTGCCATTCTTCTCATTCCAAACACAATAAACTATAACAGTTAATTTTTAATGTACTAAAAAAAATATTTACGTTTGCTATACAGACAATGATTGGTACATACTCTAATTCAACACATTACATGACACACTCATTAAAAAAATTATTATTTTTTAATTTGAAATTAAAAAGAGATAAATTTAATAATACAATCATACATATAGAAACCGATTGCATAAACTGTATTTATATTATATTGTTAATGATTAAACCGAAATTATATCAAAAAATATGTTAAATCAAGAGTATACCAATCATTTTCCTTGTTATATTATATGAAATAACTTTTACCTTTTTTTTTTTTTTTTGATATGCAACTTTTTTATAATTGCTTCCCCACTCATAAAAATATTTATACTCCATACATATATATAATATGGAATAGTTTTTCTCTTTCTATAAATCTCTTATTTTTGAAACAACATGATTAGGTTAGGTTTTATGAATGGTTAGTTCTCTCATGTTGGAGACACATGAAAAAAAATTTCATACAATAAGAATACTACACCAATGATATTTTTATCTATTAATGTTGCATAAATCAGTAAGTGTGATAACCTCCACTTAAAATAAATTAATTAGGAAATGATAATGATAATAAAAAAATCATTTTCATTACAAATAAGGTCACACTTACTGATTTATTACAGCATTATTAAGTAAAAATGTTGCTAATGCAATGTACCGTTGCATGAAAGAATTTCTCATCTTTAAGTGGTTAAGAATGATGTTACATGAAAATAACCCATCTCCGTTGCATGTAACGGTGATGTGTAATCAAATTCTTAGAAGTCAGTGACAATTTGAACATCATCAGATGGTGGGACTTTTGTTGATCATAAATGGTCAATTTCAGTTTCTCACAAAAGTTGGGTTTGTTACTAGCATAGACAACCAAAAGGCAATAGTTAGGAGGTAATAAATATCAACTTATAAACTTATTTTTTATTCCTATCAAAAGAATCTTTTTCCACTCAAAAGGGGCTAAAAAATGAAAGAAGATAAGCTTATTCTCGTATTTATCATCATACCCTGTCACTTAATTTCAATTATCTAATAAATAAGAGTTTGAGTCATTGTTTGAAATTTTTAGAGTTTGAATATTAATGTAAGTAGGATAGAGAAATGGGAAAGAGAATAGCTAACATAATTAGGGATATTTAAAGAGTAAAAATTTATTTATATATAAGTTTTATAAATTATATTTATATAAAAAA